TGCCCTCCGTCACTTTGTCCAAATATTTCATTTGTGTCACCCAAGTTGCTATATCAACGAGTCGAGCCGAAAAAAAAGCTCGGGCTTGGCTCGAGCTTTTTTAGGAAGAGCTTTTTTGGGCTCAAGCCGACCGAGCAAAACTCGGCCAAAAAAAATGAGGCTCAGCCCGAGCCTGAGTGGGCCAAGCCAAGCCATTCGGATTTTTTTTTTTAATGTCAAATCTACATTTTTACTTAAGAAATTTAAAATTTGTACGGTTTATATGTACTATAAATTAAATAAAAAAGTTCGGGCTCAACTCGAGGTTTTTTGGACCAAGCTTTTTGGGCCCGAGCCGAGTAAAGCCCGGCCAAAAAAATGAGGCTCGGCCCGAGCCTTGGCTCCGTATAACCAAGCCCGAGCCGGGCCTGACTCGAGCTTTTTTCAAGCAGAGCCCGAGCCGTCCGAGTCGGCGAGCTTTTTTGCCATCCCAACACCCAAGGAACCAAACATTTCAAAATGTCGCAACTAAAGTCTAAATGGAAGGAAACTATTAGTTTGATCATTAGTTAACCAAATAATTAACATTGACCATAATTTTTACGAATTTTAAAAGGATAAAATTGTAACTTTATATTTTTCCAATAAAAAATACAATTATAATATATGAATAATTAAATTTAAAAAACATAAATAAAAGAAAAAATAGGTTTTTTTTTTCTTTTTCTTCTTCCCTCTACCCCATCCCCACCAACCAAAACCAAATCCAAAAGCTATCGCCACCGTCATCTTCCACTGCCACCGCCATCGGCACCTGTCACTAGCACCTCAAATGAAGAAAATTTTAACTGCGTTACGATGAATGTCCAAATTGTGAAGTCAAAGCAGTGTTTGGAGGCACATCCTCAAAACCCATCCCCCACTTTCCATTCTGGAATAATCCATGAACACATCCTCAACTAGGCACCACTACCTCAAAAGGTTTTTGGATTAAGTTTCGAGCACTGTTAATCTGATTATTGGTTGAATTTTCTTCTTCTCCGGCGAACCCTTCTCGCACTTGCCTTACCTGAATTCGGCTAGCCCTTCTCCTTCTCTTCTTCTGTGGGTGGTGGTGTAAGTAGGTTCTTGTTGTGGGACAGTGGTGGTGTTAGTGGGTTCTTGTTGTGATTGTGACTGTAGCGTGGCGATGGTGTTTCGATCTCTTCTGCAGAGGGAATCGTTATAATGGGTGGGATCTGATGTGTTAGTGGATTCAATCTCTTGCTCTGTTTCAATTATGGGAGTTTGTTGTACAACGACTTTTGCAATTCTTTTATCGACGGAGACGGTGGTGCCAGCGTTGGGTGGGTGCGATGGCGTCGATCGTTGTTGCTACTATTGATGGTGTTGGGGAAGAATGAGAGGATGGTAGGTGGTTTTTATCTTTTAAATTTAATTATTAATACATTATAATTGTGATTTTTGTTAAAAAAAATAAAGTTACAATTTTATCCTTTTAGAATTAGTCAAAAATATTGTCAATATTAATTATTTGGTCAACTAACGATTAAACTAACAGTTTCCTTTCATTTGAACTTCAGCTGTGACATTTTGAAATATTTGATACAATGAGTGGCACAAATGAAATGTTTGGATAAAATCTGCTACTAAATGTAAGGTTTGGTACCGTTGTAATTTTCCCTTAAATATATGAATATGAGACACTTTTGTTAATTTTATCATTTCATACAACGTATACAATGTTACACGGTGATACCAATGGAGACTAATAGAAAAGTAAATATAAGAAAATGATGAGGATTTAGTGGGAAATATTCATGTGACCTGTCATACGGATGGTAGTGGGACGAGTCAAGGTCGAGGGGAAACTATTCCCGTCACTTGCCTCGTCGAGTATTTTTTTCTCCTTAT